CTCTCTGCAATGAAGACTGACCTTTAGCACTGGGACAGAGAGAGTAACTGACTACAACAGGAACAGCAGTCTGCATCTTGTGTCAGGTCCACTGTCAAGGCATGAGTTCAGCAATAGTTATTCTTAGAAAAAGGAATGGTTATTCTTATAGAAACAAATTTATAATGGATTTGCATCTGGGGATTATAGCCTGTTATGTACTCACTAGACATTTGCAACTGCCCTCCTAAGTCATAACTAAGGAAGCACTATACTAAATGGCCACTTTCTCCCCAGGCTTGCTACTTGTTTAGCACTCAGCAATACTCCATTAGGCAGGTTCTCCAACAGTTCTTAAATACAGTTAAAAGTATTTTGATTAGATGTCTGAGCTCTCCCAAGCCAAGCAAGGCACTAGGAGTAATCTGGTCTCCTGTTACCTTGGCATAGCAGGTTGGCAGTTGGGTAGCTTGGCATATTGTCAGTCTATTCTTCTTTTCATATGTGAATCAGCTGTAAAGTTGTTAGAAAGTGTCCCCAAATAGATCAAACCCTATCCCCATAAAGGACCGGTACCTCATCTGTGCTTGCAAAGAGGGTACTAGGTGAGCTGAAGCACTACAGTTGTTTTCTGTAAAGTCTAGTCTACGTCTCCCAGGAGCTTCTAGTTACTGGATTTATTGTTTTTTCTCTTTTTGGAAAAGTAAATAAATAAAAAGCAATATAAGTAGAAGTCTCCCAATGATGTAAAGAGAGAATATAAGCATTTGTACATTTTAATTTTTCCTCCCTTAATATTAACTTTTAAAGATCAAAGTTAAATAGCAATTCTGAATCACCACAGATTTTAAATTAGCAACCATGTCTGCCAACTGGATCATAATAATTCTTCATGATAACCTTTCTATATTTCTGAGTTATCAGTGTCTGAAAAGCAGGTTTAATTAACATGAAGAAATGACCAGAAGACCAGACTCAAGGTATACCAACCTGCCTGCAACAATGTAGTACTATGTAAATTTCCAATCTATTTAATGTATTTATTTTCTGATGTGAAAAGGCTGAAGTATAAAAACCTAACACGCTGCTTCTTTGGGGAAGTACGTTGCAAACACAACTCATCCCACACTTCTGCATGATTCTTCTGACAAAGATGACACTTTGGAAGAAGAGTTTTTCATGAAAACACAGATGAATTAGGCACATTCTGGATTAAAATCAGCCTAAGTAGCACAAATAGTTTTACCTACTCAGGCATTGTTTGTGAAAGTATTTTAATATTAAAGATTGTTAGAAAACAGCTTTTAGCCCACTGGAAACTGCAACATACTCCAGTCTCAAATAAATAGGATTTTAAAATTCCAAATTCTTAATTTTTTGCTACACATTCAAAAATATTATGCTACAGAACTGCAGAAAGCAAACAGACCCTCCTTCAAAAGCATCTTCTAGGGCCGCCATAGCAGATAGTGTTGGGCTACCTGGACCATTGTTCTCACTCAGTACGATATCCAAAACCACAGAATGGTTGAGGTTGGAAGGGACCTTTAGAGATCATCTAGTCCAACCGCCCTGCTCAAGCAGGGACATCTACAGCACGTGGCACAGGGTTTTGAAGATCTCCAGAGAAGGAGACTCCACAACCTCTCTGGGTAGCCGGTTCCCGTGCTCTGTCACCCTAACAGAAAGAAGCTCTTCATATGGAGATGGAACTTCCTGTGTTTCAATTTATACCCATTACCCCTTGTCCTGTCACTGGCCACCATCGAGAAGAGTTTGGCCCCATCCTCTTTACATTCTCCTCTCAGGTATTTGTACATGTTGTACAGATCCCCTCTCAATCTTCTTTTTTCCAGGCTAAACAGGCCCAGCTCACTTAGTCTTTCCTCATACAATAGATGCTCCTGTTCCTCAATAAAATTCATTGCTCCACACTAGCCCCCCTCTCTAGAAGCTCAGTGTCCTTCTTGTACTGTGGAGCCCAGAACTGCACCCAATACTCCAGGTGCAGCCTCACCAGAGTTGAGTAGAGGAGCAGGATCCCCTCCCTCCACCTGCTGGCAACGCTCCTCCTGATGCAGACCAGGATCCCACTGGCCTTCTTGGCCACAAGGGCACATTGCTGACTCATGGTGAACTTGTTGTCAACCAGGACTCCCAAATCCCTCTCTCTGGAGCTGTTTTCCAGCAGGTGAACCCCTAATCTGTACTGATGCCTGGGGTTATTCCTCCCCGGGTGCAGGACCCTGCACTTGTCTTTGTTGAACCTCATGAGGTTCATCTCTATCCAACTCTCCAACTTGTCTAGGTCCCTCAGAATGGCAGCACAGCCCTCGGGAGTGTCAGTCACTCCACCCAGTTTTATACCAGCATGTTCTTAAAGTGTTCGTGTATGCAGCAGAAAAAACAAAACACCTAAACAGAGTGTTCTGTCAGACTTCCCACAGTGCAACAGAGCCAAAGAGATTTATTTCTGTATCTTTTTAACAATTCCCTCCACCCTTCCACAAATGGAAAGGTCCCTACAAAATGTTTTGATCTTGCAAAACTGTACTTTTGGGTTAGAAGCTGTTCCACCCCATCTTTCCTCCCCACCAAGTTCACTTTAACTCATTAAAAAAAAAAAAAAAAACTTCTGATTACTATAATAAACAACCAATGCTCCCATATTTCCTAAGCATAAAAATAAAGTATACTGAGAATCGTAAAATATAGCAGAAAGCACTAGCTTTCTTTATGACTCGCAAATCCAAATCCTAAACATGACAAAATGTGTCTTTTAAAAATGTAGCTGAAGTGTTTTCTTTAAGTTCTACCTGATCTGCACAGGAAGTGAACTATGAAAATATATTCCATTTCAACTCTTGGCTTCTGACTCAGAGTACCAAGTAAAAGTTGTGTAATACCATGCTGTAGGGTGTAATTGTAGTAATTACAATTACTAATTGCTGTAGTTGTGTAATACCCTGATTCAGTCCTTTACTCAGGCTTTACTATTTCTTTTTTTTTCCCCCCTCAGTATATTGCAGGCAAGTGCTGTTCCACTTGCTGGTCCATGCCCTTGACCTGCCTGCTCTTCTGCAGGACCTGGTATGACTTGCCTTTCAGCTCCACCTCCCATCAGCTGATTTCCATTTGCGTGAGGTCCTTTCCCTTCTTGACACCCAGGGCAGACAGAAACAGGCTACAACACACACTGCCTTAGCACTGTCATCACACTGATGTCTGCTGACATGAAACTGCTTGGCTGATTCATTCCAAATATAATACTCAAGTGATTTCTTTTCATCACAGGCTGAATAGCTAATTTCTTCTGCTTGTGTCTTTGTCGCACATGACAAAGCTTAATCAGCCTTGCAGGAGTCCTCTCTAGCAATGCTCACAGTTCTAAGGGTGGTTGGAAGAGCATCCACTCAAGCACAGGTGTTCAACCTCTCCTAGCTCAGTCTACAACAAGTAGGGTGTTAATGAGCTGAGTAGGAATACTCTTACTCCACTTAGTTGTATTCTTCTTTCATATAGGCCACTATATGAAGTGGGCCACTTCTGTATAAAAATGCTGAATTAAGAGTTAGGTTACCTTATCACCAAAAAAAAATGCTAATCACATTAGAAGGTCTTACAATATTAGTTTTTCTTAGTTAGTTAGCTTCTAGAATTTAATTTTCTATGCATTCATGTCTACATGTACGCACAAATTAAAACCTACTGAATTATCAGTTCTACATGTGCAGTGACAGAAAACATCCAAGATTCTGCTACAGACACCATGAATGCATACAGCTTTGTGCCCAAGGAGTAAATATGAAACTTACACTCCAGTTATAGCTTACATTTTCCACATTTAAAAAACAAAGCCATGCCAAAAATAAAGTTAAATTCCTCACACAGTCTGTCCTACCTTGACTGTTTGGCATCAGCCCTGCACATGCCAGAAGTTTCACAGATGGAGGTTCAAGGGCCCAGCAGACACACTAGGACCTAGATTTTCAAAGATTCTCACTATATGAGGAGCTGACATCATCTGACTTCAGTCTAACTTAATCATTTATTATGATTTTCACAAGAAAATATTCTTTAAAAATCTATGCAAGTCAGATGTCTTTGGAAAAGCTCTTAGACCTTATATTTTTTGTGCTTGTTTCCAGGATAGGATCCCATTGCTATCTATTTAGGTGGCAAGTGATAAAATACAACAAAACCTTCAATCTCAGCTTTAACAAACACATACTGAATCATAGGAAGAGCCATGACTGTTATGAAAGTTGTACTAGTCCTGGTAGAAACATTGGTCATTTGCCTTAGTGTCATTCTGAAGCCATCTCTGAAATACCACAGAGAACGCCCCCTTGGAGGAATAAAAGGGAAAGTTTTGCAGAATTTGTATCAGAGAATATATAAAAACAGAAATGATTAAGCTCTTTGCTCCTAGATTAGTCAAAACTGAAGTCTGAAACAACTTACAGGTCCTGCTTTCCTCTGATCTCATTTGGAGAAATCCTGCTGCTGCCAACAATACTTGGCAAACAAGTAAGGCCAGTAACCTATCTTTTCTTTAATATTTATCTATGTATATCTGTGTATTCTAGTTGAGGAAAAAAAACTCAAAAAATGCTATCACGTCTTTTGGAAAAAATATATATATACACACACATATACATCATCATATTGGTTACTTTAACTGTTATACCATAGCTTAGTGTTATGTAAACAAGTGATACTGGAAGATTTCCATGACAAGTTTTTCATCAAAGATAGATTTTAGGCAGAAAATCCTATCAGGTCCTACTTGATAGGTAGCATTTGTACCCTATTGCTGAAGACACAGCATTACCAGTATAAATTTACAAAATTAGAATGCTGAAATCAAAGCACATTATGAATTGTGAAAGCTGAGGTAACTAAACAGCATTTACCATTACACATGCAACCACACCAAAGAAAAACAAAAAAAAAACTTGCATCTGATTTGTTGACTTATACTTGAAATAGAAAAGCCAGCCACTTTCTGAATTCCTTACCTCAAGTACCAGCCAGAGCTGATCTCCATTTTTCACATCTTTCTTATAGTACATGCCATAGAACTTGACAACATTGGGATGATCAGAGAGAGCTTGCAGAATGTTATACTCGGCTTCAATTTCTTCATCAATATCCTAGTGTCACAAATGAGAAACACAGCAGTTAGTAAAGCCATGACATACATAAAGTAGCACTTTCACACACCACTCAGAGGGCTTTAAGGCCATTACAAAGTTTGGTTCTGTTTACCTGGTACAAAATAATCATCTGTTTTTACTGGATCTTTTACCAGTTTTGCCTAAAGCACAGAGAGTGTCAGAGGGGCCCCGAGGAAGCTGGGAAAGGTGCATTTCAGGGTAGCCACATCATGGTGTGAACAAGAACCTACATGAAGTCACTGCAACCCCCAAGGGGGTTCAAAGGAGCCGGTGAGTTTTGGGGTCAGCGTGCAGATGCCTCGGGGTATCCAGAAGTCACAAATTACTTCTCCAGCCTCAAGGCTGTCTCCAGCCAGAAACAGTGCAGCTGGAATCACCCCTTTTCCCTTCTGTGCACAACCAAACCTCACTGTAGCCATATTTTATTATTTCTTTTTCTGGAATCCTCTGGAAACTTTTCTAACATGTTCTTGCTATCATAGAAACTAACAACATCCATGATCTCCTTGGCTTCTCCCTCCGCACTACAATAGTGGCTTTTTGTCAGTCTCTATTTCAGTTTTCAGATTTCTTACACAGTGAGGGAAGCCTCCTGGGAGGCAAGAGGAGGGGACAAGGCTTTTCAACCATGCCCCATTTCCGGCACAAGCACTTTCAGACTAAATACAGGTGCCAGCAGCTGAAGGAATGGGCAACCCAAGTGACCCCTTCCCTCTGGGTCCTGGAAGAGCCCACAGAAGGACGCTAGCAGAGTGGCTCAGTCATGCTGAAAAGGTAGTATTCAACCCATCCTGGCCACAGAATGAGGCAGCCCTTCCATCCACTGTTTATTTCTTAGGGGTAAAAAATACTGTTATACTATTAAATCAATTGAAAGAAATAAAAGGTGAAAAAATCAATTTTAAAGGCAGGATATGAAAGCCATTAACCACACCCCAGTAGAAAATATTTACTCAGTGCTGAAAATCTGCCGTCTCTCCACTCTCCTTCCCCACTCCCATTAAATGGAAGTTACTGCAGTAGAGAAAAAGGATACTCATACTCCCAGCAACAGGTATTTCCTCTCAATACAATCAGTGCCAAAGCTATCTGCCCCTGCGTTGCCACATGAGGACTTCACTCACTTGTTTCCTATACAGATCTCTCCAATATTAAATCAAATTTATGATTTTTCTATCGAGATTACAACATTAAATCCTCTCACAAGGAGAGCTTTAGATCTCTAAAGCCAAGCTTTAGAGATCTCTCACTGGAGGAGGCCAAAAACAAAAACAAACAAACAAAACAAAAACAAACAAAAAAATCTTCTCTTTTCAGAAATGAGGAACTCACTTCAAGTTAATTTCCCATAAGCACAACACAGAATATTGCCAATAAATAAAGTAGAAGAAAGGATGAAAGAACTAAGGCATTTAAGAGGGAGAGGGAAGAAAGAACGGATGAGACGTAGGGGATGAAGAGAGATAATACATCTGGTAAAACAGAAAGAGAAATCATAAAGCAAAACACCAAAGAGACAAAATCTAAAAACTACACATAAAGACATGGTTGCCTTGGGTAAAGTGGAAGAGAATTAGCTCACTGTCCTACTGTGATTTAATAGAGGTTTCTTTCTCCTGAGGGATACTCAAATTTTATGAGAGTTTTACCATTATGAGGAGAAATGGAAAGAGGGAGAAGGAAATGAATAGAATATTAATTCTATCCATAATGGAAAGGAAAAAATCATCTTCTGCATTTTATGACAAAAGAAAATTTGGTAGTTTGGTTGAATTTAACATATACCTATACAGAACACAGCAAAAGAGAGCACCTTTTTTAGAAACAGCACAGGAATATCTTCTTGTGAAGTTAAACACAGGATAATTTGGCTTGGAGTCCTAAGGTACAACAGTATTTCCAAGGAGCCCTGAGGACAAGACTAAGAACATGCTCAGTCACATCTTCATCTACTCTCAACATCTGCATTTACTTGGTCAGCTTCAAAAATCTAAGCTGATATTCAGAGAATCTGAAAGGTTTCAAATCATCATATACCACCTGCACTAATGTAATTTCTTCATTCAATTTGCCAGTATCAGTTATAGTTGGTAATAAAAAAAAAAGCACTCCTACCGCCTTTTTAAGTCTACCTGAAGTCAGATAATCCAGAACCTATTTTCAAAGAAAGAAAATGCAAAACTTGAAAGAAAGTCTCTAAAGCACTTTCTTTTTCTTCATTACAATGGCTCCCTCTGCAGCCACCAATAACACTTTCAGTTTCAACAAAGATAGGCAGCCTAGTAAATTCCTTTCACCTGTTTCTAATATTCTAACCTTCAGTAGCTATTTCAAGACATCCCACAAATAGGAGGGAGGAAAAGGACAGTTTAAAATAGAAAGGTGTATATATTCAGTTAAAAATTAAGGTCTCTGAATTTAATGTTGACTGTATTACTTACTTTCAACTATATATCAGTATGCTCAGTTCATCTCCTTGGTTACTGAACAAGCCATCTTTTGTATAACAGACCAAAACTTTTCCAATAGAAATTTCATTAGGGGGGGGAAAAAAAAAAAAGAAATCTAGTTTTCAAATAAGATGAACTTTTCAAAAAAACAGGTGTCTGCCGTCTTTGAAAAATATCAGGAATATTCTGGAAAAACATTTTTTCAATATTTTCAATTGAAGATTCCCATTTTATGGAAAGTCAGGTAACTAATAGGGTTTCTGGCACTTAAAATGAGACAAAAATATTTTCAAGTGATCTTAAGAAGAAAAAAATAGAGAGAGAGAATGGTTTTCCAAAGAAACAACAAAGAGATGGCACTCATAATCTAACTTCTTCATTAAAATAAGGAATCTGGTTTTAACAGTTCTAACTTTTCCCTCCTTAAGTTTCCAAAGTTGCATCTTTGCCCTTTGCTCTTGTTTCTTCTGGCTTCTTCACATTCTACTCTTTTATATTTCTCCTCCTAGCTGCATCTTTATTTCCTCTTCTTTCCTCTCATCTTCAACCTTTTCCTTTTTTATTACAACTTTCAAAGAATGTATAACATTGAAAGTTTTCCTGATTCCTTCAATGATCCCCTCTACAACTAATTGCTGGCAGAGAATCATTCCTGAGTTCCTGTAAAAATAGACCGCAGCAGAAGCATTTCCTGCCACACAGGCATTTAGATGAACACCAAGTGCACGTCAGTCCTGCTTATTCAAAACAAATAACCTTGTTTACATAAAGCAATAGAGTCAAAATTGTTCACCGTGCATTTGAATTCACTGAGATCCTTATCGCTTGGCTGTGAAACATGTTTGCTTTTGATGAGGTACGTGATGCTGAAATGAGATGAGCCCTTTTTGTTGCTCTGAAAGCATACGGAAGGGAACAGCACATCAACAGAAAACACACAGATAATGCAAGAGAGGGAACACGTTTCATGGACTTAATGGCCACGGGACTGTGGTTCGACACAGGCATCGGCACAGGCCTTGTGTGAGGCCGTGCGGCTGCAGAGCGCAGGCCGCAGCGCTTCTCAAGGCAGGACGTGCCCCTCTTCCTCCCGAGGAACTCACTAGGAGAGAACGCAGGACTCAACTACAGGAGCCTTTTCACTGGCAAAACAGCAACAGTGACTTGTCTGCTTTTGCAGGTTTGCAGATTCTCAAGAAAAAACCCAAGAAGCGACATAGAACACTACCAAGGTCAATGGGGTCTGCCTTTACAAATCAGATTAACGTGCCACATTCTTCTCAACTCTGAACATTTATCTGCCATCCAACAAGTGCAAGTTATTGTGAACAAAACACACTCTACAACATAGTAACTCCAACTCCTGTTTACCTGGTACTTTGTTTGTAGGAGTCATTGCCTTTGTATTTTCCACTTGAAAAGGATGGAACATTCTGTGATATTTAAGTACTTTGGCACATTCTGAAAATGCAGAACCAATAATAACAAAAACAAAGTTCTATTCTATTTTTGAAGTGTCACTCATAATCTGTCACTGACTAGAAGAACGCACTCAAAACATTTGCTTTCAGTTACATGATACCTACTAACCAGTAGGAAAGTTACGTATTTTTATGTGTAAAAGAAGGAAAAGGAGCAACAGCAGAGCTCCTGGTACTGCCATAGAAAATATTCAGCTTTTTTTTTTTTTTTCCCCTCTCCTGAAAATAAAAGATAAACAAGGGAGAAGTCAAAGAGAAATTTACCAAATTTAGTTCTGTTTCTGACTTTTATCATAGTATGGCCACTACCAAGACCACTTATCAAGTGAATAATGCTTTGATGGCAATATATTTTAGTTAACAGGTTGAAGCAATTTATTCCCCTAACAATTTCAGTGTAAACAACATATCAAGCTTAAAGAAAAAAAAATACATAATAATTTACAGTTGAACAGAAAACAGAAATACAAGTAATTTAAGTAGCTTACGTGAACAGGATCCAAGATTTTGACGGCTGCTTTGCTGCCATTTTTCTTATTTAATACCTTGAAAACTTTTCCATATGTTCCTTTGCCAATAGTTTCAATTATTTCCCATGTGTCTGATGGGTCAGGAAAACTATCAAATATTATTGTTTTCCCAGTTAACGGAAGCATCTCAATAGCTGGTTCCTAAGAAAAAGTGTGAGTTTTAGTATTCATTGAATAAATGATTAATAACAAGTGACTCACTACAAATATGAAAAGAAATATATATTCCAATCTCAAATGCTAGTAATGTTTTTGCATATAGGAAACATGTACTGAAAGCACACAGAACAGGAAAGACAGCATTTAATACAGGTATGTGCAGTCAGCTCAGTATCAAATAAAGGGAGATTCAAACGACCCTTTGACAAACCTCAGGCCTGAGGAAAGTCAGTGGAAACTTTCCCATAGACCTCAATAAAGCTAAAGCATTACTCTTTGCTCACAGATTACTGTTACATAAAATCCAAAAGAATTTGGCTCTAGTACCAAGAATCAGGAAGCAAGGGTGACAAATTCTCCCAAGGAGCAGCGTTAGGTTCATTCGAACTTTAATAACAACCAGTTTTATAATCTAACTCTTAATATGTATACATTTTTATGTATATTTTATACAGATAAGTCTGAACAGATCTGTTCATAGTACTACAGTTTTCTAGAGAGAAGGCATTCACAGTCATGGAAAATACACTGACTGATGTATATTCATTAGCATGTATTTTACATACCATAAAGGAAGGATTAGACCTTTGTCCAGGTCAATGATGGCTAAACTTTACTAATATTATCATTCACACTGGCATTCAGCATATATACAGTGTTAAAAAAGTAAACAAAAAGCAAAGAACAGCCCTCCCCAAGAAAACCCTACCTTTACCAGGCATTCAAACACTCAACTTACACAGTATAGAGCCAGTGACATAAATTACACCATGATACCATGTTGCTTTCTTAATAGTGAACTCAGAGCCTTTCGTTTCATCAGTGACTCCCTCATGCTGGCCATGTTTTCTTTATTCAGCAGTACATGTATCAAGCAGACATGGCTGAAATGGACGCCTACACAAACATTATCTTTGAATTACCCCTTTAAGTTATCAGAACTGCACACTGCCACTTCAGTTGCACATTCTGGACTAATTTTCCACTGGATTATATAAGCTCTTTGGGGGACTTTAATTTCATGATTATTCCTGCTGCTCTTGGTTGCTTAGCTCACTAATCAGTCAGAAGATATTTTTTATTTATTTATTTTTTCTTTTATAAAACAAATATGCAACTGTATTATCAATCTCTATATTAGCTCATGCAGCAAAGTGGAGAAATACCCTCCTAACACCAGGGAACTATGAAGTCTGTTGTACCGGGAGTACTGCGATGGTGCTCAAGCATCTTGATTCCAAGGGCCGTGGGAATAAAATGACCTAATTTTACCTGTGAAATCTCCCTTAGCACAAATCCAGGCTAAGGTCAAAGGAGAGATAAGCTTATTTATATAAAGGATCAAGACTTGGAGACATGAAGCTTTTGTATGCAAATCTCTAAATTTCTATCCCACATTCAAAATTTTCTCTATCCTTCTGCCCGACCCTCCTCCAGGATTCCTACAAATATAACTCGGTCAGGTTGCACCCTCTTTCGGAAGACCTTTCCACCTCATACAGTATCGATGAGCGCTAAGTAAGAGGCATTACCATTCCCAGTCAACACCATCTTTTTTCCAGAGAATCAACAAAAATAATGCTAACACTACTGATTCATGAAACATTTTTCCCTCCTCTTTTACCCATAAAATGGTCCTCAAATATGAAGATAAACTGTTTTAACATACATTGTGCATAGCTTTTAACTGAGACTATACAAGATTAAAAAAAAAAAAACACATTCTTTTGAGGTGATAATGGAATGTGATTCATAAACCCAAACCCTTGCTTTGAGTAATGACAGAATTTCAGTGACAGAATTTCTCTTTCTGAGCACTATTTTTTTAAGACTGAGGTTATCTATTTGTGTAGCATTTTCCTGAACACTTAGGCCATAATTGAAGATTTTGGGGGGAGGTAAGAGGGAGTAAGGAGTCATCAACAAGGACCTTCTAGAGAATGGAGATGTCCCACTCATACTGGTATCTGTTTACATACAGATTCCTGTCTACAAAATACACATAAGTCCATCAAGACTTAGGCTCTCTTATGTCCTATAGGGGTGTACAGTAAGAGCCCCTGACCCAGACAGCTTATTCTAGGAGGTATGTGAAAGTTGAAAGAAAAGACAACTTAGCAACTCAGTTTTAAATTAAAGGAGTCCTAAGATGTAGGAATTTAAAGATCAGCTTCACGTATTTATCCTGGGGCAGAGTCAGACAGGACCAAAGACCCATCCTTTCACCCAAAACCTTATAACAGGCAGTACCTTCTCAAGCGAAACACGCGCCTAAGAAATAGCAGGTTCCAACAACTTTCTGGGTTTTATTAGATTTGCCATGTGTTAACAGAATGCAGCTGGAGTCACCTGGCTCCCCCCATCAACTACTTATTTGTCTCTGGAGACTAGTACAAGGAGAACTGTTAAAAGACTGAGGAAACAAAATCTAGTTTTTAATCGAGTTATACCAATTGTACTTTTATTCGCCTAAAAACACACATATACTTAAAAATAAAAACTTTTATTAACTGTCATACTTAGTTCAATAATTTAAGAATACTATTACAGAAAGAAATATTTAAACTAATCCTTTATCTTTAGATGTACTGCTTTGAAATCATGACTTGAACAAGTTATATTGAATATTTTATTTCCTCATTTCCACCATATTTAAGAACAAGCCCTAGCATATAAATTGTTCAGTTTTCACTCTATTATCAAAAAATATATTAAACAGAATGATTTCAAGTCTTCTGTTCCGAGTGATGAATAATGGTTTATTACATCTGAGTGTAGTTGAGATAGCTGATAATGATTTAATCTCATATTTCAAAATAAATAGGACTGTCTCTGAAATATGTCTGGGTGCCACAATAGCTGGGTAATTCATCATACCCTTCTCTATTAAAATTTACCTTAGAAACACAGCTTATTACTTGACCCAAACTTTTGAGATATGAATGTACCCTTGAACCTCTATAAAAACCTTCTAAAAACCCTCTCAGTGTGTTCAGGAAAATAACTAAATTCATGGTTATTAGAAACAAACAAACAAACAAACAAACAAGGCAGTCGTTAGAAAAGAAGCCCACTCTGTGTATGTGTGCATGTGTGTGAGAAAGAGGCGCATCTGGCCTTGGCAATTTGGCTATAACATGGAACTGGGAAAGAGGGTTTTTTCAGATGAGCCAGCACTAGGTGACTTTTAATGGCACACTCATACCAAACATATACACTGCATGCAGCAGATCTCAGCCCACTTAGTAGAGATGCTCAGAGATGACCTAAGCCATATCAAAGAGTAAATTACTGTATTCCCCATCAGTTTCAACATCTTGCTTAAAAGGAAAGCGCAAAGGAAGGGAAGGAAAATGAAAAATACTTGTGGGCCATTACATGGATGCAATGGCAACTCACTGAAGTATGGCTATCATAAAAAGAAACCATAAAGTCAGACCCCTGCAAAATTGTCAAGACCACAAAGCATTAACAATGTTAAGCAGGAATAGTTCCTGCATCTACAAGCAGGCTTGCAAGCACAATAGACCCTAAATCTCACACAGAACACTGTATGTAATTTTGATATTTGTAATAGTTAAAAAACAAACAAACAAA